CCAGTGAACACGGGTACCCATTGAGTGTGAGTGTTGAGGGCTAGGATCCCAGTGAGTGATTGTTGTCCTGAGAGGTTGTACTTGCTTTCCTTTTGTTGTTGCACTTAGTTTCTATATGTCATTGTTGTGAAATTCTCTGAAAGATTTTATATCTGGATTACATGAACTTGAACTGTATAAATTGATCTAACTTAAACTGCCGGATTTGAAAGCATGTCTATTCTCTGTTGGAATTATTGAAAATGACCTATAACTGTGTAGCTTGTCATTATCTTCAGTTCCTTAGTTAATTTTGTTACTTGTTGAGTTGGTTGTACTCATACTACACCCTGCACTTCGTGTGCAGATCCAGGTGTTTCTGGACATAGCGGGTGTTGATTCTCTCACACAACAGATTTTTTGGAGATTCAGAGGTAGCTGCGGTGTTTAGCAGACCTTGTCTTTCTTTCCATATCTCCTTGTTTACTGTATTTGATCTTAGACTATTATAGACCGTGTTTTCTAGACTTATATTCATACTAGATGCTCATGTACTCAGTGATACCAGTTTTGGGGAGTGTTCGTATCAGTATTTGTGGGATTTTGTATTGTATTTAAATATTATATTTTCAAACTTAAAGAGGAATTGTGGTTTATTGAGATTATCGGCTTGCCTAGTATCGAGATAGGCTCCATCACGACCGGTTGGGATNGTTTATTGAGATTATCGGCTTGCCTAGTATTGAGATAGGCACCATCACGACATATTGGAATTTTGGGTCGTGACAGAGCTTTAGATTTGGGTTTTGCGCCTAAGTGGGGGAGCATCAGAGCAAGTTAAAGTCACCTTAAGGGTGATGGTTGGAAAAATAAAATGGAGAAAGTTTTATTCATAAAAGAAATATTAAGGACACATCTTCAATAAGATTCCTGATGAAATGAGTAAAATTTTCATACAATGCTGGTATAGGGATCACATGCTTATCACGAGCAATAGTTACAATGTTCAATATTGGGGTTATTAAAAGGTGTTATCTAATAGTCAAATATTTAATGGGCTATTTGAGTAGATTCTTATTAACTTTGGAGCATGTGTCATTCGAATTAAATTCAAGCAAGGGCGAAAATAAGGAAGTACTTTGGTCATATGTTGGACTTAGTAGAACAAATGAAGGTTATAAATGAGGATAAAGTATATGAACACTTGGCATGAAATGAGGAAAGAAAAGGTTATATTATGCGTATTCCCAAATACGAAATACTTTTGCAAACCAAAATAATGAGCTCCAGTAAGAAGCACGGGGTGAGAAAAGAAAAAGAGACTAAATAGTGCAAGTATTATCCTAATAGAATTGTCCCTTTGGGAGTTGGAAGCCTATAATCCATGGTAATAAGCCTATGGTAGGCACAATAACAAATACAATATGAATTTATGGAAGAGAAATATCACAAAGGACATGGTGGTATCTATGAGTTGGTTAAGGTTAAGAAAATAGAAACATGTACATTGATGTTCGAGAATGGATGATAAACTTGCTCCACAAGGAGGAAGTGAATTGAATATTTGCGTAGTGAACTTGTAAGATATGATGTTATTCAAATTGAGATCTAAAGGAAACTCAAAAGTTACATGTACAAGTGAAGGTATAAATCACCCACGTGATGGATGGACCTAAGCAAGACAAATATCTTGTTGGTATTCGGATGGGATAAAAGAAGTATTACGGAAGGAGTTGGCAACTAGAGAATCAAGGGTCCTATGAGGACAAACTATGCGTAGAAGTAATATTATGTCACGACCCAAAATCTGACCTGTCGTGATGGCGCCTATCTCAATACTAGGCAAGCTGATAACATCAATAACCTCCTATTTCCTTTAAGTTTGAAAAACATAATATTTAAATACAATACAAAATCCCACAAATACTTATATGAACACTCCCCAAAACCTAGTGTCCCTGAGTACATGAGCATCTATTATGAATACAAGTCTGGAAGATATGGTCTATAATAGTCTGAGACCAAAAACAATAAACAAGGACATAGGGAAGGTCTGCGAAACACATCAGCTACCTCAAAATCTCCGGAGAAATCAACTACGCGAAAGAATCAACACCCGCGATGTCTAGGAACACTTGGATCTGCACATGAAGTGCATAGTGTAGTATAAGTACAACCAACTTAGCAAGTAATAATAATAAATAAGGAACTGAAGATAGTGACGAGCTATACAGTTATAGTTCACTTTCAGTAATTCCAGCAAAGAATAGGCATGCTTCCAAATCAAGCAGTTTAAGTCAAACCAGTTTTATACAGTTCAAGTTCATCTAATCCAGCTATAAAATCTATCAGAGAATTTCACAACAAAAACAGATAGCAACTAAGTGCAACAATAAATGAAAAGCAAGTACAACCTCTCAGGGCAACATTCACTCAACTCGTCACCACAGCTCAACCACTCGGCTCTCAGCCCTCAGCACTCACACTCAATAGGTACTCGCGCTCACTGGGGATGTACAGACTCCGAAGGGGCTCCTACAGCCCAAGCGCTATAATCTGCACGGACAACTCACGTACTACACGGACAACTCACGTGCCATAATATAAATATCTGGATCTGCACGGACAACTCACGTGCTGCATGATGTTTGGCTATAATTTTATATTTTTAGTGCATTACGTACCTTACATTTAGGTGATTTAATGCTAAATTATACTATATTTGTGCTTAATTGAGTTTATCTTATGTGTAAGTACTTTGGAGATAAAAGTTGAAGCAAATATGCTAAACATTGCAGTACAGAAGGCAAAAAGACAAATACCTGTAAAGAAAAATAAAGGAAGAAGCAATTTATGAAGATGAAATCTTCCAAGTTATGAGAAAGCAATAAACTTATTACTAATGTAAGTATGAAAGATGACAAAGTAGCATGAAATGCTTGAAAAGGAAGAGTTAGGCAATTGGCACTATCAAGAATGAAGATTGATTAAATCAAAGAACACGGCAAGGAATATATAAGTGACGTGAACATCATTGGAAACAAAGTGAGGCGTCAGATTTCAGCTGCCATATGTCAGGTGACGCAACATTTTTATCCTCCCATTTGAGCTTGCGAGGCGAGGAACTTAGCTCGCGACAGAGCTGGCGTCCCACAGTGTATAGCGAGGTGAAGCTCGCATTTTGCCTTGCGGCGCAAGACCTGTAGCGAGGGTGTTCCAGGTTTTTTAAGCATATTTTGTCTCCTACTTGATTTTGGATTTGGTTATTTCGTTTGGATTTTTTTCCTACACATATAAATAGTCATTAAACACCATTTTGAGGGGAGTTTTGTGACCGGAGGCAAGAAAATCACGTGGAACCACTTTTGGAGGAGAAAATCATAGAGTTCTTCATCCCTTTATCTTTTCTTTGTAATTTGTTTATGCAAAATACTTGGAAAATTATTAATACGAACATGAGTGGCTAAGTACTCTATGTTCTAGGGTTGTGGTTGACATGATTATTAACGTTTATTAATTACATCTTCGTTAATTCAGATTATCATCTTATGATTGTTTCTTTAATTCTAGTTTTCACTTATGAATTGTTGTAGCTACCAATTCACCCTACTATATATGCTATTTTTGGGAAAGCCGTGTATAAATTAGAGTAAAATTAGATAGAGCTTGTTTCTGAACCCGTGGCTCGGGGGAAGAATTTGCGGTTAGGATAGGAATATATTTAACAGTGTTGCGTAATTAAATACCGTATTATATTCGTTCATGATAGACTCAATACCATAGGAATATAGGATTGATATATTGTGGGCAGACGAGTAGTATTGTGGAACATGCTATTCATATAAACGATCTGGTTAATTAGCAACCATAGATAATCTGGATTAACGAGTGTAATTGTTGATAAACCAACCACAAACTTGGAATTTTCTTCTCCTCTAAAGTAAAGTCTCATCATACACATTTTCATTCTTGATAAATTAGCTGTTACTTGTTTAATTTCCGCAATAGTAGATTAATAGAAAAATATGACTGTTAAATATCTTGGATAATTAATTGTTTTTAATTTGCTTAGTTAACGATCAATCTAAGTCTCTGTGGGTTCGACATCCGACTTTCGAGTCACTTTATTACTTGACGGTCACGTATACTTGCGTGTACTTGGGGAACCAATAAGCTTTTGGCGCCGTTGCCGGGGACTTAGTTATTGATTGTTTAGTTAAGTTAAGCTTTTATTCGTTATTTGTTCAAGTTTTAATTTTTAGTTTGCTTTATTTGTGTTAACGCAGGCTCTTCTCTTGAATGCGGAGGAGTAGAAGCGCAAACAATTTCCTTCCTCTTGATCTTGAAATCGAACGAATGCTTCTTAGAGTGAGGAGGGAAGTCAAAGCTAGAACTAGAATTGAAAGAGAGTTGGACATCGTAGTTCAACCACATCCAATAGAGATGGCGGGTAATGAAGAGCATCTAGTGATAGCGGCTGCAAGGCCCAATCTGGCTCTTATGACTCAGGCGATTGTGAAGCCTGGTATCACGAGTCACTTTGAACTCAAATAGTACTTGGTACAGCTGATTCAATCCATATGGCAATATGTGGGTCTATCTCATGAAGACCTGCAGAGGTACATTCAGAACTTCCTAGAAATTATAGACACTTATAATTATCCGAATATTTCCAAGGACTTTGTCAGGCTGACATTGTTTCCCTTTTCACTGATGGGGGAAGCTAAGGAATGGTTACAAAAGGAGCTCGCGAACTCAATCCACAATTGAGATGATCTAGCAAGGAAATTCTTAATCAAGTTTATTTCCCACAAAGAAGACAAAGTCACCGAGGAGCCAGATTCTTGGGTTTCAACAACGAGATGGTGAGACTCTTCGACAAGCTTGGGAAAGATATAAGAGGCTACTCAAAGACTGCCCACACCATTGTCAGAATGATGAGGTGTTGGGTCACACTTTCGTTGATGGGTTTGACGAAGTATCAAAGATGAATCTTGACTCAGCATGTGGGGGGTAGTTGCATGGCAAGACTGTATAGTGAGATCCAGATCCTACTAAATAATTTCACTGCTAATGATAATAATTGGCAAGGAGATGGGGAACTACGAAGAACACTTAAACAAAAAGCAGCAGGTGTGATCGAGCTTGATGATTTCTCAGCAATGAGGGCAGATATAGCGAGATTAGCGAATCAGATGAATAAAATGACAATGCACCATGCACAACAGATGCAACATATGCAACAGATGTCTACTTGCTGCGAGTTATGTGGTGAAGGTCACACAAGTGGCATATGCCCCGTGAATCCTGAATCCATCTACTACATGGGGCAACAAGCTAGAGGGCCGATGAATCAAAATGCTCAATATGCTAACACATACAATCCGAACTGGAGGAATCATCCTAACTTCTCTTGGGGTGGAAATCAGAATATCAGGCCTCAAGCGAATTACAATCATCCACCTCAACCTCCACAGCAAGCAGAGGAGAGTCTGACTGACATGATGAAAAAGCTCTTGATAGAAAATCAGAAAGTTATGGCTGAGAATCAACAAGTCAGGGCAGAGAGTCAACAAGTCAGGGCAGAGAGTCAACAATTGCGCACAGAGTTCAGAAATCTAGAGAGGGAGTTTGGGCAGATGGTTAATAATCAGAATACTAGACCTGCTGAAGCACTTCCAAGTGATACAGAGAAAAATCCTCAAGCCAATGCAGTGACGTTGAGAAATGGGAGAGAGTTGGTAGAAGTGCCTAAAAAGAAAAAGGAGCAATCTAGTCTCGAAGAAGAAAGTGTGCCAAAACCTGTAGAGGTAGATGAGAGAAACAAAACAGTGCCTGAGCAAAAATCAGAGAGGGTGCCACCCTCTTTTCCTCAAAGATTGAGAAAGAAGAATGATGACCACATGTTTCACAAATTCCTAGATATGCTGAAGCAGATACATTTGAACATCCTTTTGGTGGACATGCTCCGTGAGGTCCCAAAATATGCAAAATATATTAAGGACAAAATGGCCAATAAAAGGAGGTTAAATGAGTTTAAGACCGTAGCACTTACTGAGGAGTGCACTTCCAGGATTCAACATAAGCTTCCACAAAAGCTTGAGGATCCGGGTAATTTTACCATCCCCATGAGGATTGGTGAATTTGATGTGGGTAGAGCCTTGTGTGATTTGGGTGCAAGTATCAATCTGATGTCGTTGTCAGTGTTCAAACAATTGGGCTTAGGAGCTCCGAGACCCACTACGGTGATGCTACAATTAGCTGATAGATCTTATATTTATCCTGAGGGGGTAATTGAGGACGTCCTGCTGTAGATTGGGAAGTTTATTTTTCCTGTAGATTTTATCATCCTAGATTACGTGGCTGATGAGTTAGTTCCTATCATCTTGGGATGACCTCTTTTGGCTACTGGAGATGCAATTATCAAACTCCGAGAAGGTAAGATGATCCTGAGGGTGGACAATGAAGAAGCAGTCTTCAATGTATATAGAGCCATTCAGTTGCCTCGTCATTACGAGGACCTGGCCATGATTTCGGTAGTGGAGATAAATGAACTAGCCGTAGAGCCAAGGGCGTTTAAAGAAGATGCACTAGAAAAGGCATTGACGCTGTTCAATCACTTGGAACTTGAAGAAGAGGTTGAGGATATGTTGCACATTCTGGATGCATCGTGCGAATACATACGAGAAAGAACCCAATTTGAGCCTCTGGATAGGCCAATCACCCCGCCTCCTAAACCCTCAGTTGAGGAAGCCCCAAAATTGGAACTTAAACCCTTACCATCTCATATTCATTATGCATATTTATGAAATTCTAACACTTTACATGTGATTGTTTCTTCTCATTTGTCTGAATTGCAGGAAGAAAAGCTCTTAAGGGTGCTGAGGGAGCACAAGCATGCCATTGGTTGGACGATGTCTGACATAAAATGTATTAGCCCTGCATTCTGCATGCACAAAATACTCATGGAGGAGGGACACAAGCCTAACGTGGAGCATCAACGCCACCTCAATCCAATCATAAAAGAGGTGGTAAGAAAAGAAGTAATTAAGTGGCTCGACGCAGGTATAGTATTTCCTATCTCCGATAGCAAGTGGGTAAGCCCTGTTCAATGTGTACCTAAAAAGGGGGGTATGACTGTTATAGTAAATGAACAAAATAAATTAATCCCAACTAGGACTGTGACTGGTTGCCGAATATGCATAGACTATAGGAAGTTGAATAATGCTACACGAAAAAATAACTTCCCTCTCCCCTTCATTGATCAAATGCTTGACAGGTTAGCCGGACAGGAATACTATTGTTTCCTTGACAGCTATTCGGGGTATAATCAGATTCTTATTGCCTCGGAAGATTAAAAAAAGACCATTTTTACATGCCCTTATGGCACTTATGCATTTAAGAGAATGCCATTTAGGTTGTGTAATGCACCTGCGACTTTTCAAAGGTGTATGATGGCTATTTTCACCGATATGGTGGAACGGTTTGTGGAGGTTTTTATGGATGATTTTTCTGTATTTGGTCCGTCTTTTGATGAATGCTTAACCAATCTTGCTAAAGTTCTTTCCAGGTGCGAGGAGACTAATCTGTATTGAATTGGGAAAAGTGTCATTTTATGGTACGTGAAGGTATAGTGCTGGGACACAAGGTGTCCAAAGATGGACTAGAAGTTGACAAGGCTAAGGTGGAATCAATTAAAAAGTTGCCACCACCGATTTCAGTGAAAGGAGTTAGGAGTTTTCTGGGACATGCAGGTTTTTATCGCCGATTTATAAAGGATTTCTCAAAGATTTCCTCTCCTTTGTGCAGGTTGTTAGAGAAGGATGTGTCATTCAAGTTTGACGATGCTTGTTTGAAACATTCGAGGAGCTGAAAAAGAAGTTAGTGAGTGCACCAATCATAGTGGCTCCTGACTGGAACGAGCCATTTGAGCTGATGTGTGACGCCAGTGATGGTGCAATTGGGGACATATTGGGCCAGATGAGGAGCAAAATATTTCACTCTATTTACTACGCAAGAAAGACTCTCACTCCTTCTCAAATAAATTATACCGTGACAGAAAAAGAGTTGCTTGTTGTAATGTGGGCGTTCGATAAATTTTGGGCCTATTTGGATGGCACCAAAGTCATCGTCTACACAGACCATGCAGCCATTAGGTATTTGTTTGAAAATAAATATGCTAAACCAAGGCTAATCCATTGGGTTTTACTCTTGCAGGAATTTGACTCAGAGATCCGAGATCGTAAAGGAACAGAGAATCAAGTGGCTGATCACTTGTCCATGATAGAAACTCGAAATCATGTAGCTGAGGGAGATGTCATCAAGGAAACATTTTCGGATGAGCAATTGTTGGTCATTACTACTGAGGAGGTACCATGGTATGCAGATTTTGTGAACTATTTGGCAAGTAGAGAGATGTCACCTGATATTGAACCTTATGCTAAAAAGAAGTTCTTGCGAGATGTGAGGTCATATGTGTGGGATGAGTCATTCCTGTTCAAATCGTGCATTGATCGGCTAATGAGAAGATATGTGCCTGAATTTGAAATAAATGTTATCTTACATGAATGTCATGCATCGCCTTATGGTGGTCATCATGCGGGTGACAAAACATCAGCTAAGATATTACAATCGGGTTTCTATTGGCCTAGGGTGTTTAAAGACGCCCATGAGTTCGTGAGGAGATGTGATAGGTGCCAGAGAACAGGAACAATTACGAAAAGGCATGAGATGCCATTGCACGGTATTATGGAGGTTGAAATTTTTTATGTTTGGGGAATTGATTTTATGGGTCTATTTCCCTCGTCCAGTGGGTGTAAGTACATTTTGGTGGCCGTTGACTATGTGTCGAAGTGGGTGAAGGCCATAGCTCTTCCTACCAATGATGCCAAGGTTGTGGTTAAGTTTGTGAAAAAGCATATCTTTACAAGATTCGGCACTCCGAGAGTGATGATAAGTGATGGGGGCACCCATTTCTGTAACAAGCTCTTGGACAATGTCTTAGCGCAATATGGGGTCAAACATAAAGTTGCAACTACTTACCACCCTCGGACTAGTGGGCAAGTGGAAGTTTCAAATAGAGAGATAAAGCAGACCCTAGAGAAGACGATTGGTGCAAGTAGGAAAGATTGGGCTACAAAGCTTGATGATGCTCTATGGTCATACCGGATCGCCTACAAAAATCCAATCGGAACCTCCCCTTACAAGCTGGTTTATGGGAAAGCATGTCATTTACCAGTGGAACTTGAGCACAATGCCTATTGGGTAATAAAGAAGCTGAACTTTGATGTATACTTAGCGGGTAGAAAGCGGTTGATGCACCTGAACGAGATTGATGCATTTTTCTTACATGCATATGAGAATGCCAAGTTATATATAAAATATAAAAAAAGACCAAGCGCTGGCATGATAAGCATATTCAGTATCGGGCCAATTGGTTCTCTTGTTCAATTTGAGGTTGAGACTTTTTCCGGGGAAGCTCAAATCGAGATGGCCGGGCCCGTTTGAGGTAGTAAGAGTCACTCCACATGGTGCTAATGAGTTGCACGTCTTAGGTGGCGAGAGAACGTTCTTAGTGAACGGACAAAGAGTAAAGCACTATTATGGAGGTGACTTTGATTGTCAGAAGTCGAAGGTGTTACTTGCCAATGATTAGATGAGATTCTGTGTCATGCCGCGACGTTAAATTAGGCGCTTGTTGGGAGGCAACCCATCTTTACTTCTTTCTTTTATTTTTATTTTTATCTTATTATTGTTGTAGTTTTTGTTTTTATTTTGTAGGATTATGAGCATATGAAGCAAAGCCATTGAAAGAGTGCAAAAGCGAGTTAGATGATGAGAACTAAGTGTGGGGTACCACATAGAGGACCATGCCTGGGGAAGTCTGAGTACCCGTGAGCCGTGATTGCTTCGGCCTTTGGCCTTTCAGGGAGTTTCTTGTCCACCCTCATTATTTGTTGCTTTATTTGCGCATTGGGGACATTGCACTCTTTTAAGTATGGGGTGGGAGAATTCCTCTAGATACTTAGTAGTAGTATGTTAGAAAATGTTAACTTCTTATTTTGATTTTAGCTTCTTATTTTTGTTTTCGTAGTTGTGTAGTATTTTAGTAGCTATGAAAAAAAAAAGTAGAAAAATTAGACTTTTTCTGACGATGGATCTCATTCAACAAGTTTCTTGAGGGATTTAAGTTGAACGAAAAGACAAAAAGATTTTCTTTGTATGTAGTGTAGTAATTCCCCCTTGATTTTTCTTTGTGTCGCGGTTCTTTTTCAAGGGTTTTATTTGAACCGGGTGTAGTTAGTTTTATTTTTTTAGGAGTAGGAGCCACTGTGAGGTGAATTAAATTGGAGCAATATCTCTTGACTTTGTTATGCCTTGAGAATAGTGAGTACTTTGGTTGTGACGATTAGGCTCAATTTTTGAGTCTTGTATAAGTACCTTAAATCGTATGATCTTAACTTTGCTTAACTGCTTTGACTAGAGTGTCTNAGTGGGGTGGATGGTGGCTTTTGAGTGGAACTAATGAAATAAGGAGAAAGATACACTATTTTGAAAAATAAAAGCCACTTGAATTGAAAAAGAAAGAAAGGATAAAATAGTTGTATTGCTGTGAAAAATACTCCTTAAAAGTGGTGACTCTTGATGTAATTGTGCTTAAAAAAGTATGGAGTTAATATACATTGATGTGAAGGTGGAGTTATGGTTTGACATAAGTATGGGGTTCAAATGTAAAGTGTATGTATTAAAGTGTTTAGGGAGGTGTAGTCACTCTTATATCCAAATGTATCCTACCCGACCCGCAGCCTACATTACAACCAATTAAAGTCCTACTTGATCTTATACAGAATGAGCTCGATTAGTAGAGTAGTACACTACGGGCAAGCCTATGGTGCATCTTTTGTAGCATATGAATGTTATTTCTGAGAGTGAGTGAATTCTTTCTATCTTGAGATCCTAATTGTTCTTAAACTTTTATTGTGTGTGGAACTACTTTCTGTTGTTGTATGAGGGCACTTGATTCATGAAGGAAAGGTAATGTCATTGACCTCTATGTTAGAGTAAGTGAGTGAGTTGTGAATAATGCATGGTACTTGTGAGTCAAATCTTGAGGTAAAGATGTTACACTTTTGTGCTTAGTCTATTTTAAAGATTCTTGGTGTGATGAGTTAGGAGAATTGTTTTAAAAGGTCGTGTCTATATAAAGTGTAGTTTGATTACTCGAGGACGAGCAATGTTTAAGTGTGGGGTAGTGATGTTTGGCTATAATTCCATATTTTTACTGTATTACTTACCTTACATTTAAGTGCTTTAA